TCTCCTCCCTGGTGGATCAATCGATCAGCTGGTCGATCACACAAAGCCCCTGCACTATGAAACCGCGCGATCATTGAACGCAACTTTTCCGTTTAAAAATTGAATGGAATTGAACTTCGTTCAATGAACAGACTTGCACTCGCGAGTTCAATTCCGCGCGGACTCGCAGGGAGGGTGGAGGGGGGGAGGGACGACTGGGGTTAGGTTCCCTGGGGTTTGTGTCAGCCTCCCCGGGCCAAAGATGAAAAAAAAAAAAGGAAAGAGAGAGAGAGCTCGCATGCGAACGCGAGAGAGAGAGAGAGAGAGAGAGAGAGAGAGAGAGAGAGAGAGAGAGAGAAAGAGAGAGACGCTGGACCTGGTTTCCAGCAGGTGTCGCTCCCAACCAATAGATGGAGCAACCCGACTATCAAATCCTCAATCCTAGTGGTTCTCTCACCACCGAAAAACAAATAAAAAAAAATTGAAACGCGAATTCGAGGCCGTGTTCAAACGCGAAATGAACACGAACGTGTGGACATGGCATTCAAACGGGTTACATAACCCCTGCATAACCATGACACACACAAATCGAGTACCACAATATTTCTATCTTTTGCGCGCTTGAAAATGCCGACGTGCACACACGCGGTGTCGTCTCTCTCTCACTCACACTCTGTGTGTGTGTATCTCTAATTTCGTTTGTCGGGGTTGGCCCATTGCTGGATATTGTTACAAGGTAGTGCCACATCAACAGGAATATCTATGTGGCGGGCGGTTAGTTAGATTGGGAGGTGAGGCAGTAGTCTCTCTCTCTCTCTCTCTCTCTCTCTCTCTCTCTCTCTCTCTCTCTCTCTCTCACACACACACACACACACACACACACACACACACACACACACACACATGGACATTTGTGTGCGTGTGTGTGGGCGTGCATGTGCGTGTGTGTGCATGTGTGTATTCGTGCATGCTTGTTGTCACGTTCACTGTACACAACTCCACAAACAAAAGCATGACTGTGCTAGACTGTTTCGCCAGACTTTCACCAACTCATCAGGAGGTTCCCGTGCGTGCGTGCGGTGCGTGCGTGTCCGTGCATGTGCTTGTGTTCGCATGCATGCCTGAGTGTGTGTGTGTGTCCGTGTGGTGTGCGTTACTCCTGAGCAGCCGAAGGGTTGAATGGCGCCGCAGTTCCTTTACTGGCGACCAAGTCCAAGCCCGGCACTACGGAATAGGGGAGCGGCCCAGGACCTTTTTTTGCCTGCAGAGTTCTAATCTGGACCATTGGCCTATGGTGCCAGACGGACAGCCCTGATCTTTAAAATCTTAAGATCCCTGATCTTTAAAATCTTAAGATCGTGCAACGATCCGGGCCGTTGGCCCAGCAGGACCACGGAAGGGCCAGATCTTCGTACGATTTTAAAAACTTCAGATATCCAACAACGATCCGGGTCGTCGGCCCAGTAGGACCGCAGACAGTCCGGATGTCTGATTTCTCACGTTAGCGATTTCCACAAGTGTAGGGACGATCATCAAATGAATACAGTTCTTCGGGACATCCGTTAAAATTGGAACGATACAGAAAAGTTTTTTTTTGTTTTTGTCTTCTCCTCATCAGGGGACAGCTATATATACCTCACATATTTTAACAGGCGTTCCGCCATGTCATGGAACATATCTCTTTCCTTTCACGACCTACCACTACTCCTAAGGCTATACAGGGGACTTCTGCAAGCATAGCTTTCTACCTCTTTGGTGAAGGGAGATTACCTCTCTCGGTGGAGGGAGGTAACGGCATGTTTGCCCCTTTGTCCCAGCGTTTAGGGTGCAGGGTTAGGGTGCAGGGTTGGGGCCGCCGGTGGGGGCCCGGCTAACACAAGGACCGAGCAGTTTGCCAGTAGCTGCACCTCCCTTTTCATCGTCCTCCGCCCCCAACCGAATAACAGCAGTTTCTAAGGCCAACACTCTCCCACACACTACACACAACACACTCACACGCGCACTCACACCCGTGTTGGCTGAAGACCTTACTACTAATACCGACTGGGAGGATCCAGCTGACTATCTCAGTTGGTTGGCACCGAGCGTGCCACAGGTGGCCGCGGGGGTTGAACCCGCGACCTCCTGAATGCCACTTCCGTGCCTAACCACCTGAGCTAGGCCGCTGGATCTAGCATTGGCCCTGCGCAAGGATGACACGCATAAATCGAGCTATGGTTCAAATGAATACAAACGGCTCATCAGAATGAAACTATTTGGCAAGTTCAAACCACGCCACGTAAGCAGGATTAACTGCCACGTAAGAACAATAGACACACCACGACGAGACAATGACACGTAAACAGGACTAATTGTCATCACGTGAGTACAAACACCGCATGACTTTTCTTCTTATTTTCCCCCCTATTTGACAAGCGAAGGACACGGCATGTCTGCATGATTAATTGCCACGTAAGCAGGATTGCTCGCCACCTCCCTGATTGAGTGTCATGCCACGTAAGCAGGGTTGCCACGCACATACAGTTGATTGCCACATAAGCAGAGTAGCAGGCCGATTGCCACGTATGCAGGATTGGTTGCCACGTACGTACAATTGATCGCCACGTGAGCAGGGTTGTTTCCCACGTACGTACAACAGATTGCCACATAAGCAGAGTAGCAGGGTCGACTGCCACGTAAGCAGGGTTGGTTGCCACGTATGTACAATTGATTGCCACGTAAGCAGGGTTGCTTCCCATGCGCGTACAATGGATTGCCACGTAAGGAAGCATAGTTGACACACTGTGGGATGCTGGTTGGCAAGTGCGGAGGGTCTTGGATTCTGCGTGGATGCTGCTGCCTGCGGAAGATCTCATGGATGTCCTGCGTCCACGCTGTAAGTCACTGGGCTTCAACGATAAACCTACCAACAACCTATCAATAGTACGATCACGATGTGAATACAAACGTCGCCCAATTTCGATTTGGCAAGCGAACGTCATGACGGTAAGCACGATCGATTGCCACGTAAGCAGAGCACTGATTGCCACGCAAACAGGGTTGATTTCCTCGGAAGGAGGATTGGCAGAATTGTTTGCCACATAAGCAGGATTGCCCGAACCGATTCCACGTAAGCAGCATTGATTTCAGCATTCCTCGGCGCACAAGCAGGACTGGCAGAACTGTTTGCCCGAACCGATTCCACGTAAGCAGCATTGATTTCAGCATTGCTCGGCACGCAAGCAGGATTGACAGAACTGTTTGCCACGTACGCAGGATTGCCAGAATTGATTCCACGTAAGCAGGATTGATTGCCACGGATTGGCAGAATCCGTTGCCACGTAAGCAGGATTGGCAGAATTGATTGCCACGTAAGCAGGATTGGCAGAATTGATTGCCACGTAAGCAGGATTGGCAGAATTGATTGCCACGTAAGCAAGATTGGCAGAATTGATTGCCACGTAAGCAGGATTGACAGACCATGACATCACGTGAACAGGAATGCAACATAGTCACAGTCGACGAGTTAAGACCAAGACACGCAAGCACGATTGATTGGCACGAGAGAGTACACATCAAATCCTCGAAATTGTCAAGAAACAGCAAACGACAACAAATTCTCAGACATCGGAGTAACAACTGCCGACTACTGCAAAAATTGAAATCTGCCATCTTCTACTACCGGCACAGGCGTCCTGTTGTCATCAACAAGAAACAGATCAGAGATATATATCTTCACCCGGCCAGACCTTTTCCGCCTCTGTCCCCTCCAGCCCTTGCCTCTCCTGCCACGTCCTTTCTTTCTTTCCTAATTAGGCAAAACCGAAGATAAAGAGAGAAAAAGGAGAAAAGGCTTTCCCTGCATCCTGAGCAAAGCGGTGAAAATCCTCTTCACCAATCATTTACCTCACAAACATTATCGAACTGAATATAATCTCTCTCTCGCTCTCTCTCTCTCTCTTCGAGCATGAAGTAATGTGGACGACTGAGAAGGGTGGATCCAGCCGACATACGCGACCAGATTAACCGCCAAATGACTGCACCGACTTGCTTCAAACTCAGAGTTCAGTTTTCTTTCCTCCATGAATTGCAAGAACGAAGGAAAACATCGATGCTGACCGACGGCGAATGATGATGATGATGATGATGATGATGATGATGATGATGATGACGCAGCATTTCCGACGCGCAGGGGCAGAGAGACTGAGAAGAGTGCCAAAAATAGTCAATTACATGCCCCCCCCAAGGGCAGAAGCAACTCGAGTTCAGGCGGGAAAGGACCCGTCGAGGAGGAAATTCGAAGCCGTAAAATGGAACAACGCCACCCCCAAACTCAAATGCAGAGATCTCGACATACAAAGGAGTCGCAATCCCAACCAACCTCTCGTACATAATCCATTAATTAACCCATCAACTAATCACTCTATCGATCAATCCATTGATCGAGTGATTCTCGATTTTGATTACATCCATTTGACTATTTAGTCCATCAGTTAATCACTCTATCGATCAATCCATTGATTGATTGATTGATTAGATTGATTGATTGATTGATTTGGATTGATTAGTTGGGATTTTGATTTGGATTTTGATTAATCAAAACCGATTTACGACGACAACAACAACTCCTTGAGTTCTCCACTCTTGTGCATCTCCTCGATGATATCGCACCCACCAATCAACTCGCCTTTGTGATAAAGTTGGGGATAAGTCGGCCAATTGGAAAATTCTTTCAATCCCTGCCTGACCTCGTCATCGGTGAAGATATCGAAATAGCCGAACTTGACTCCAAGCTCATTAAGTACATTAACAACCCTTCGACTAAATCCACAGAAGGGTTCCGACGCGGTACCCTTCATGAACAGCATGGTAGGGGAGGAGTTGATGAGCTTCTTCAGTCTCGCTTCAATTCCTCCCTCCTCCTCCGTCTCCTCCTTTTTCTGCACAAGTCCCTTCTCTTCGAACAACCCCTTCAGTTCGCCGCTCGCGTGCATTTCCCGCACAATATCACACCCCCCTACCAATTCCCCGTCCAGATACAGTTGTGGATAAGTCGGCCAGTTTGAAAACTTTTTCAACCCTTCTCTGACCTCCTGATCTGACAAAATATCAAAGGTGGAGAATGCCACCTCCTCCTTCTCGAGAATCTCCACGACTTGGCGGGAAAAGCCGCACCGCGGCTCCGCTGCCGAACCCTTCATGAACAGCATGATCGGTTTTGACTTCACTAATTCTTCCAATCTCTTGTTTAATTGCGCTGCTGCTTCGTCGGCTGTCGTTGTCGCTTTTGGCGTCCCGCCATTAGCCACAACGGCAGATTCCGTTCCCGCCAATTTTTCCCGCGCCGCCGCCGCCGAGGTCGTTTCCCGCCATCTGGACAACTCCTCCACCTTGCCGACCATCTTAGGCACGTCGGCGCCTTCCAATCTGTCGGAAATGGCGCCATTTTGAAAAAAGACGATGTACGGAACAGCAGACACCTGGTGCTTGTCTGCCACGTCAGCTAATTTGTCGGCATCTGCACGAAAAAAGCGGACGTGTGGATGACTGGACGCCAGCTCATCGAAAACTTTGTTGATCTGTTGACATGGCTCGCACCAAGATGCCCAAAAATGGCACACCACAGCAGAGGAGCTCTGCAATGCCCTCTCCAACCACCCTGCCGACTCCACCTCCTCAACCACCGAGACCGCCATAGCTGAATCCCTCTCTCTTTAATATTATATTATCTCTTTATTATTATATTAATTAATACTGTGTGCGAGATCAGCTATGGCGACGACTTCTTCCCACCGCTGCCGTCACCGCCGCCGCCGTCCTCCCAAACGGCTTATTATAGATGCTGGCTGCAAAACAGTAAAAACATCACAGGAAACAATTACTGTAAGCAACTTTGTTTTTCTTTTCTTTTTCCAATTTAAGAAAGTAAAAAATGACAATAAAAAAAAAAAAAAAAAAACACATCTCCGTTTACGGTAAATTACAAGAAGGGCCAGCGCGGCTCCGCCCGCGTTACAAAGGGGTATTTATCAAATTGAGATTAGTGTATACGAAACCTCCAACTGGACGTGAATACCGGAATCGAAAATGGGGGGTTGGCAGATTTAAAAAAAAAAAAAAAACTATGGTTGATTGTTTGCAAAACAAACATGGATGAGAGAGAGGGGTGTTTCAGCCTTTAGGGTTTTTGGAACGAAGAATTATCTCCCTGTACGGCCCCAATAAAGACATAGCCCAAGTAGAATTACAGTGGAGTCGAGTAGAGTAGCGTAGAGTAGACACTATATAATAGAGTAGAGAGTATAATAGAGATGAGGGAGTAGAGAGAACAGTAGAGATGAGAGAGTAGACAGCAGAGAGAAGACAGTAGAGAGCCGGGAGTAGAGAGCAGGGAGTAGAATAAAGAGTAGAGTACAGGGTAAAGAAAAGTAGAGCGTAGAATACAGTGGAATAGAGAATAGAGAGTATAAACTGGAATAGAGCGTAGAGAGTTTTTTTTAATACGACGAGAATACAGAGTAGAGCGTAGAGAGAGAATTAAGTGTAGACATAGTGAAGTAGAGTAGAGAAGACAGAAGCCGTTTCTTCAAAAAAAAAAAAAAAAAAAAGAGAGGAGAGAGTTGCGAGCAGTGTAAAGCAGGTAGTAGAGAGTAGAGCCGAGAAGATTTTAATGTCGAGTGATGTAGAGTACAGCATAGCTCTCTCTCTCTCTCTCTCTCTCTCTCTCTCTCTCTCTCTCTCTCTCTCTCTCTCTCTCTCTCACACACACACACACACACACACACACTCCTCTCTCTCTGGCGCGCGCGCAAGCATGTGCGAAGCCGCCCTTTTTCAGATCGTCAACGAATTCAACACCCTACATCAGGCACAAAGAAGGTGGGAAGGAGGCAGGGAGGGAGGGAGGGAGGGCAAGAAGGTGGGTGAAAAACCGAGGGGGAGTAGAGAGGGAGGGCGGGAATGGCGAGGGAGGAAGGAGGGAGCGGGGCCGAGGGAGAACCGCCGAGGTAGGATGGAGCGAGGGAAAAGGATAGGCCGCAGGAGGGAGGCGATGCTATCTCTGGTGCCTGGCGTGCACGCGCACAAGCATGTGCGCGGAAATGCAGTGGTTACGTAGTTTGGGATAGTACGAACGACGACATCCACCCCGGCGCAAAGAATGGGGGAGGGAGGGAGCGAGGGAGGGAGGGAGGGAGGGAGGGAGGGAAGGTGGGGGAGAAAACCGAGGGAGAAAAGAGGGAGGGATTGGGCCCAATGGAAACGCGCCGAGGCAGGACGGGAGGGAGGGAGGAGGATAGGCCGAGGGAGAAGGGAAGTGATGCTGCCTCCGGTGTCTCTATCTCTCGCGCGAGCACGCGCGTGCGAGCGCGAGCTTGTGCGCGGTCGCCCTTTTCAGATCGCCAGACGAAATAAGGTGCTTGCATCAGTCGGGAATAGAACGGGCAACGAAATCCACACTCTA